CATAAATATACATATTAATATTATAAGTTATTAAGAAAATAATATGTTTTTTGCAAATATTATAAAGTGAAATTATTCAATTTACCTTATATATTCCATTTAAATTCAAAAGATATCACGAATATAGTGTGTATCTGTATTTATTGGTCAATCTGAAATAAATAATAAATGTTATAGCAAGTTTGCTAAAAAATATAGTACTTAAATATTTTCATTTTTACAAAACTTTAATACTGTAAAATATATAAGGACATTCAATAGGTAAAATATTAATATATCTTGTACATTAAAAACAACAACATAAACATTTTAAAATGTAATGAAAACTATTATTATTATTATTATTATTACTAATTGTAAATATTATTCAAAGCATCGTTTTCATTTGATTTATGCGGATGAGCAATAAAATAAGTGTCAATTAATAATTCAGCATAAAACGATTTTAATAACTATTTCAATGATTTTATTAAAAATGTAATATCTATAAATTAAAACAAATTTTTTTTCAAAAACAATTCAAATTAAAATAAATTATTATTAATTTAATTTTCATGAATGAATTGTGCATATTTTTATATTCATTACGATTAATTGTGATTACATTATAAAATACTAAATGAATTTTATAATGTATCATAATGATACTATAACACCAGTATAATAATACAGAAAAACATAGGTATACTTACAAATATAATAACGCCTTAAAACGTACAGCTTGCTACTAATTTCATTTACGTGTATATTTTTTTCGTACAATTCTCGCTTATCCCATTACTTTCGTGTATTTTTCATGATCCAGGCAGTATTGGTTGTTAGTAATGACTTATTACCAAAGATAAGTTTTAGTTTGGATAATTTTGCATTAGCATTTAATGTTTCATTTTTTTTTTTTTTTTTAGAGTTCCTATGTGTATATAAAGAATCTTATTATTTCAAAGTGGTTATTCTCGATATAGTTGAAAAATCAAATAATTAACTAATATATTTATAATTATGAAAATAATAATTTATTTTCCTATCCCATCTATGCATGGTCAAAACATAATTCTATAAATATATATCAGACTTATTTTAATAAATTTAAGCGCTAACATATTTTTAATTTTTATTTTATTTTATTTCATCATAAAGGATGATTACGTCTGTAAGACAAACTGTACAGTTAGTATTTTTGCGCGAACAATATGATTAAATATTAAATAACTAATATGTAAGATTTGTTCAATTATAATCATAACAAACATGACATCGTAAACTATTTTAATTATTCGTTAGGTTTAATAGTTTTCACCAGTGGCTGGTTATCATATTAATTGAACAATTTAATAATCTACTTTATATCCTGTATTTTAATCAATAATATTATTAATCACCCTCGTAAACTTCACCGTACCAATTCAATATGTATTTATTAGCATACATACTATAATATTTATATTATGTAAAAAATATAAATTTACTAATCGTCCAGCTAACCAATTAGTCCATCAAAAAGCTTTTAGAAAATAAAAATAAAATAAAAGAAATATATTCTAGACAAAAACCATAAATATATTAATCAAATCAAAGTGGGTCTTATGTTAGTACGTATGTCGTGTACAGCATATTTTATACATGGTTCAAATTACATACACCGTATAATCCGGCATACTTTACCCCATATTTTCCCCCATAAAATGTTTTAACAAGATTTCATCCTGTAGTTGGGATATCCTTTGATGAAACGTGTACAGAAATTAAAATAGACTATGGAAAAACGAATATTGTTTGAAAACGAAAAAATTAAATTTGATACTTCATCGATAACACTCACAACTATAATCCACCACGAGCATGATCTTCAACACAAAAAACACGAATAGACAGTATTTATGACGGCGTTTTTTATAGGCAATTATGGAATGGCTATGTGTATTATTTCAGACTCTAGTTCTTAATCTTAATCTGCTGTGTTTTTTAACGAATTTCGTGAAAAAAACTCCGCAGAATAAAATATATTAAATTAAATTTGATACGAATAGCACAAGATTTTATAATCTGTAACTAGAATTATTTAAATCTATAATCTTACCTCCCAATTATAGATCGATTACGCACTATTTTTATAACAGTTATTTTAGTTTGTTTTTTAATCGCATTGATTTTTTAATTATAAAACGTATTCATTTATAAATGATTGAAATTTATACTTTTTTGATCGTACATTTTGAAATTTATTTTTTAATGAATTATAAAGTAACAGAGATTTAATTAAAATTAACTTTTATTAATAAAATAGCTATTTATACATTAGGTGTTAAAAATATTATTTATAAGCATAATAATATATAAAATATAAATATATTAAAGGTTTAGATATATTTTGGACCCTAGGGCATCACATAAACTTAAGGCGACAGTATATGAGTGTGATATTGTAATACCCAAGTTATTATATTTTTTATCATACAATATGCATACAATATTAACTACATACCTATCATTATACCTAAGAGTATTATATGAAACTAAATAATTTGTTTGGTTTTTTTTTTTTTTTAATTTGATTTGATTGAAATTGATTATGATAGAGTATATGAACTATCTGAACCATATCAAATACACTTTGATTCATAATCTTTTCTTTTTATTGAGTATTGTGAACGATTTTAAATGGAATATCAAATAATATTTTGACAACATTCTTGGTTTAATTTTTTTTTTTTTTGGTTTTCAACTATTATGGTTTTGACAAATAATTGTGTTGACAAACATCATTCGACAATTAAGCATAACTACTTGATTTGTACTTCCTCTTTCTACATTAAATTGTTTACCACGTCGCGCCACGTTACCAAGTTGATTCCGAACAGTTAAAAAAAATATGAAATTTTCGTCTAAACTGTATTTTCGTTTAACACACAATCTTCTTGATGAGTTCACTTGTATAATCTTTGATCGCTCAGCAGCCGCATCGACGATCTAAATAAAACAATGACTTTTTGCGTCGAATATTTACGTGACAACAATGGTTGGACCGCTATACATGTGTATGAAATTGCATAATATTTCAATACATTTTTCGACGAAAATGCAATTGTCGGTTGGAACCCGATTGAGCACAGATACAATTAGACAATATAAATCCAAAGTTTAACAAGATTGAGCATAGAAATACGTACAACGTTGCCGCCCCACACAACAAAATAATAATTTAAAAAATAGTTAAGTTAATTTTTAGATGTGATTCATAATATCATTTTTTTAAATAAAAATGTATGTAAAAAAAAAATTCCTATGATAAAATAAAAAATACTCAATATAATAGATAATATTTGTATTATGTTATAAAATTTTTATTACGTGTCAAAGTTTTAAATTGGTATCCCTAAATAATTATTTCCCACTTTTAATAAATATTTTAGTAAATCTTTAGAATTTTTATTTTTTAAATATTTATTGTAAGCCATTATAGTTGCATTAATTTTTTGCATTTCAACAAAACTCATATTTTCATGGCAGTCAGTTTCAATTGACCGAATTTTCGTCATTGTTTCAGCTTGAGTATTTTGTAAAACCATAATTACCAAGTGTATGTGTGGGTGAGACTTGTAGAATTGTGAATTGTAAGTTATATGAAAACGTTCAACTGCATTTGTTGTTATAAAAAAAAATACAAATTAAATTTGTATTAAAGAAAAATGTTGAAATTAAATTAATTTTTTTTTTTTTTTTATTTAATAATTAGATTTTGGATGATCTATCTTTGATCAAACATAGGTTCTTTAGCCCATATATTTGAGGGAAATGGAGATTCGTCATGTATATAATTATTAAAAATATAATCGCTAAATTCTGAGCAGACTCTATCATTTGGACAGACTCATGAGTTCGACGAATACATCAGCTACTTCATGACTGGGAAGAAAAGCTAACCAAAAAAAAATCGTTATCCAATTTCCTATTTCATCGTTTTCTTTTTTATAGGCTATTCTGAGAATAGAATCGCTGTTTATCTATAATAATTAAGAATACAATTAATGTATGATTATTTGATTTAAAATTATTTTGTATTTACTTTTTGCCACCATGATTGGCCTAAATGAAATCGACAAGCTATTAATTGTACATTTTCAAAAACTTTATACGCAGCTTGGTGGGCAGCCTTTTCAAAGTCAATGTGTAATTTTTTTAATATGAATTGACTTCCTGTATATTTTATACGGACGTCTTGTAGGAATATCCACATTTTTTTATATAAATCTTTTGATTTTTCGATTAAAAAAAAATAAACCAATGGCAAATAATAACCATTTTTATATCCATGAATAGTATATAGTTGTACAAAATATTTAGGTGCGTAATAAATGTACCATCGCAAAAAAATCAATACAATCATGTTTCATCATAAATTGTAGGTTGAAATCACAAATAATACATAAAAAACTATTGCCTGCAGGAATATGTATGAATGGTTGTCTACATGGACAACTTAAAATCTTCTTGAGTTTTTATTAAATTCAACTGTAAAAAATTCCGGTGACTTCGGCAATTCGGGAAATATTTTTCGTTCTACAAGAGCACGAACTGTGATCGTAAATCTAAAATTAATTAATAATTAAAAATTATATTAAAACAATGAAAAGAAAGTGTTTAGGGAAATTAATTTTTAATGAAATTGTTTGTTAATGAAATTTTACAATCATATAAGCAAATTACATCTATATATATACATACGATTTAAAATATACGGTATACTGGTACGTGACACGAAGAAATAGCGATGCATACCTGTTACCAGTACACTGTATTTAATAAAGTGTGACTAGAGAAATTAATAAAAAACTTCCGACAAGATAATGGTATACATATTATACAGCCTAAGCAAAAAGAAAAAAGTGGTGGCAGTGTTAGATTTCTATGGTTAGTGGTCCGTGACACCCTCTAGCAGCGATGGTTAAACGTAAATCAAAGTGGTTTTTAATAAATTAAGTAATCATTCGAAGTCCGGCAAATGTGGTGAGTCTTGGATCTCCTATAGTCCCGTCAACATGGCGCGCTTCACAACGTTACAATGCGTAATTGTCGTAAGTTTTTTTGGTCAAGAATTGTTACAATAAATTTAAAAATGATTTGTTTGATTAATTTCGATTTGTTATTGATACATACTATTATTTACAAATATAAAACAATACACCTACTCTATCTGTGTGTGTTTTTTTTCGACAGATTGCATTCTTCGTTCAAACCTTGATTTATACTGTTGAATGTAGTGACAAAAGGTAAGAACATAAAATAATAATTATATTATAACGTAATTTTATTTTGTTATCACAATTCAAATTTATTTCAACATTTATTGGAATAGTTTTAACTGTATTATAATTTAAAACTAAAGGCAAATAATTATTTTCATACTATTTCTTTATTTTACATATCATTTACTCATTTAAAATTAATTTAACAAGATTTCACGTATTTGGTATTTGAACGTATTATTATTATTGCTTTTATTTCACATGAATTTTAATTTTCTGAATTTTACATTTTTTACATAACGACGCGCCTATATCATTTATAAATCAAACACAAGTACATAATAAAATAATAATCAAAATACTAAATTGTTATCAGTTTTCTTATTTTTTAATTTTATAGTCCACCGTTTAAAGTTAACATTATTATTTAAAAAAAAAAATGCACAGTGGTATTGACATTATAATTTTTATACAGTAATGAAATAATTTAATATAATTTTCTAGAATTATTGAAAGTATAAAAAAATACCACCAGCTCAAGTTAGATCTTAAATAAGCCATAAACGGGGTATTATATGTTTTTAAGTATAAATACATGAAATAAAAAACTTCTTTACATACAACTTTGACTATTATCCGTATGCTTTGTGATCAGATTATTATATATTTTATTTAATTACATTTAAATAATACAAACAATTCCATCAATAAAATAGGTAATCTTAATATCACATGTATAAATCTAAATCAGAGCCCCAAAACTTTTTTTACCCTTTAAAATTCCATTATCAAAATATTTTTTCTTGGTGCATCTTTATATATTAATAAGTACAAAGAAAAAAAGAAAATTAAATAGTAAATTATAAAAAGAGGATATACAATCATTATATTGTATCCACCCTATAATAATACATGAATTCCTCGTCCAGACAATGTTTACACGATAATACATTTAAAAAAACAACTACGCACTTAGACAGAACCTATTTAAATATAACGGTACTTATAATAATTATTAGTCTGTTACCTAATAAAATTCCAAAGATAATTCATCGGTGGTTAGCTAAAACTCTAAACTATTAGAAACAGTGAACTCAATTATACACAATAAAAGTATTATGATAATCTTAACTATCCTCTCGTATTACTTTTAATTAAATAAAAGGCACTTCGCATGTGTGCCAGAATAACTGTAATTAATTTTGATTGTACCGATATTAATAATTTGTCAGCACAATGCATATACATATGCATAAACAGGGTATCTGTAAATCAAAACATGTAATTTTTGTACTTTATATGGCAAGTATATATGTACTTTATTGATGAGATTTCTACAACGATTTATTTATTGAAAAACAGCCAGAAAACGATTTACAAAAGTCTTTGACGTCTATCATTTTTAGCACGTTTAATTTATCAATTCTTATATAAAAAAAAATTAAAATGTGCTATATTCTCTAGACAAAATTGCCTACAATTTAAACTAATTTAATGTTCATATTTCTACTAGATACTTACATTTCCGTTTCAACCGTTAAGCGTTATAATTTGCCATGCTTTTTTATATAACGTGATCTTGTAATATACGAATTTTTATGCTAGTTTAATTCTCATTTTCTGGAGGAATAAATTGAAGGCAGATTATTATAGATCACTATATACACTGTTATAAACATCGTATTATATAAAGGAAAAAATAACACTAAACGAATGATATAATACTTTATATTAAATATATTTGTACATTTTTAAGAGTTGAAATTTCGATATATTTCTTATATTGTAGTATATATTTTTGTAAACTTACACCAACAAGGAACTGCATTCTAGAATCAATATGGCTGTGTTCCGGATTTTCAACGGATATAAAATTTTGATTGAAAAAAAGCCCCGTTCTAAATACATGGATAATTTGCTATAAACACTATTTTACGACTCAGTAAGTTTCAATTTCATTCGAATATATTCGTGTCGTATTTATTGGAAATTCGCGCGGATTCATTTCCTTTTTAGAACCAGGGCCAACGTAAGGCTAAATGACGCCTAAGGCCAAAATGCCATCCGACACCTTTTTCATACAACAATCCGTAATTTCATTATACTTAGAAAAAAAAATATTGTTCGTGAACAGAAATACGGAAAAATGATATGCTCAACTTGTATATCATTTATTACCATCTAATTTTTTAGTCACGAGTCACGACGGCTCGATGCGATCCCGATTGAACGATAACAACATATACGATAAAATATTCTACACTAAACCATAGTAAATATACTTAAAATACACTTATATTATTTTAATATTTGGCTAAACAAAATAACCATAATTATTATCAATATTTCAATACAAAGTTATGTATTATACATTAAAAAAAAATAATAATATTACTGACATATGTGCAACATTGTAAAAAACAATTTCGGCATCCCCCTGGGAAATGGCGACCTAGGCCCTAGACGACCGCCTAAATCGTCTTAACCTCACGTCGGCCCTGTTTAGAACTGCACATAGTGAGCATTCAATATCTGTTTATATTAACTACAGTCAGTATGTAACGAAAGAAGTTATGGGCATTGTGCAGTTGAAAAATTACAGGCTAGTAATTCGATTATTTACAAAGTGTTCTCACCGAAAAGTAAATAATATACAGTTGAACAAAAACGGATAACGCGTACTCTTATGTGATTGCGTATAATTCTGACGCATAACAAACGTTATAAGCCGTTTAATCGATATAATAATCGGTTGATTGCATTTCGATTACACGAGATCATTGTTATTACATGTTTACACAGTGAGTGGGTAGTTGAATAAATATTAAGTTATGTAACGTACTATTTGCCATTTAATTTCCACCCGATTTCTATAGACGGTTTTTTTTGTTTTTTTTTTTTTTTTTGTCGTGCGATTAAACAAAAATCTAAACGAAACTTATATCGATTTCGAACGTACTCGTATACCTGTTATGTAGGTTACTTTTTAGTCGATCGGCATTGAGGACAAAACGAAAATAGTCGCAAATGCTAACATATTGATCCTCCCCCCCCCCCAATACCGTCCAGATACGACTAGACCATCGGTAAAATAATTACGAACAGACTTATTGGCATATCATCGTAATCGTTCGATCCCGGTACCGCGCTAAACGAAAAAAAATTACTTATAACATATTCCCGGGGGCGAGTTCTCTCGTGACACGTTTAATGCGTGCACCGTTACCTATACAGTTGATTGACAATACGGTTAAAAACCGCACGCTCTCAACGATTGATATCACTCGGAGTGATTTGGTCGTTAAAAAAATCCGGTATTCGGTGGAAAAATCATACGCGAACGCAGAGTTTAACGCAACACCAGATGTTTGGATATGTATATATCCGATTTGGATCGAACCAAGTTAAAAGCAGTTCGGATTTACAAATCGTCTACGTGCACTGTATACTTCAGGCGAATCGATTGTTGACAACACCATCGAGACTTGCGGGACATTTTTACCATAATTGTTTATTTTTTTTCAAAAATCTCAACGGATCACAGTTTCACGCGTGTTGCATAATATTCTAACCATATCTATCAATGTATTCTATCCGTATCTCCGAACACATGCACGTAGCCTGTGGGTCGGAAACGAATGCTCGGTCTAACCCGTATGTACCACACGTTGTTCACAGGATAATCATCTACGTGCCCCGGCGCATCAAGACGGTGCATCACCACCATCACCACGTGGTGCTGATGGATCCAAAGAGCAAAAAGATCATGCATACCAAACCGTACTCGGGCAGGTCGTTGATGGCCGGGGGCTATCATCAGCAGCAGCAGCAGCAGCAGTACACACAGCACCACCAACAGCAGCAGCAAATGTACAAGCAGGAGCAGCAGTACCTACAATCCGTCCCGGTCGTCGACCATCCTTCGTCGTACCAGGAACAGCGGAAAGCCATCGGCGCCAACGTGCTGCTGTTGCCGGCCGCTCAAATGCCGGTAGTCCACGTGCCGGTAGCCTACACCGCGTGGCCGGCCAGGAAAAAGAGGTCCAGTGCCGTCGATCAGTTTTATACGCATTGAACGTCTTGTCGGCCGGTCTCGTTGAACGCGTTTAATTTATTCCCTCGATACCCACAGACACATCATTCATCATATTTTTTTATTTATTTTTTTTTATTGTTTTCGTACGATTTCATCGCAACAAATTAACATGTTCCAAGTTTAAGGTGTGCAAACTCGTGTTCGATTCCACTGTTCACTTATCCGTCTTCATGCAAACATGTGACGTTAATATATAATGAGCTCAGACTTTGTCTCAGCTTTGACTCTCCCTTCCCACAAATATGACTGTATCAATGAACTAACTAAACACATTTACGTGGAATTATTAAACATGTTTTATCAACACACGTAACTTGCCGCTTTAACCTGTACAAATTAAGTGTTTTATCAGAACGTTTGTTATTAATCGTTTCCCGTAATAGGAAATATTTCATAAAAATAGTAATGTCCAATTAAATTTATAAGAAAAAAAATCGCTCAAAATATTGAAAATGTACTATTGGAATATCAATTATTATCTAACCATATTATTACATTATTTATAATGTTAACGTCTTCATGGTTGCCGGTTTTCCATACTGTATAAAAGAAAATGTTTTAATATTTGACACTTTTATTACGTAATATTTTTACAAAACTATAGTTTATATATAGTCTATTTATGTAAAAAAAACAAAGTACATATCTGAATAACATACGTTTGTTCGTTTGTGCTCGAGTACGATCGCACACATTGATGACCCGGCATTCTGGGGCGTATTATTAATCGTGAGATTTATTTCTGTAATAAATGTTGTACAACTATACTCTGTGTACATAAATATCACTGCGCATTTACCTCATAGCGATAATTATATTTCAATATTTTAATTTTTCGCAAACCTATAGGTTTGAATATGGGTTGATTATGCCGTGTGTGTTGTTATAGTTTACAGCGTATTGTTAATTTGTGTAATATTTTATTTCTATAAATTAATTTGATGATCTGTTGCCCATACATTTTGACTTTTGTATATATTATTATGATTATTGTATATTTTATCATATGTATTATTTCATTTTTTTCATATTGTTTTTTTTTTTTTTTTTTTTTTTTTTTTTTTTTTTTTTTTTTTTTTT